ATTAATGACCCTACGCGCTGCGAAATAATCGGCAAGTGACAGACTTTACAACTTGAAGAAACGCGCCTAATCGAACACACTCACTGCCCCAGTGCAGTGGTCTGGGTGATTTTCTAATGTGTGCAGACTACACGGCTCTCATTAGAGAGCGCGATGTCGGGGTTGATTCAAAATTCAGTGTTTGATCGGCGCTCTGAACACTTACATTCGGTTTCCCTTGGCACGTGTGTCCTTTGTTTCTCCCCGTAAGGCGTTACAGAAGCCTAAACCATTCGAGCCATGTGACGAAAACCTTAAAGTGCCATACAACACACTTCATCACGAATGTTCACTTTGCAGGTCACACGGTTTGTGTCGTCTTCATTGTGAACAAATATGTGATATTTTCCCGCAAACTGGAAATACCTTCCAGCTTTCATGCCTTTTTTTTTTTTTTTGAGGTACGAAGAAATTGTTTGCATATGTGTATATAATGTGCCCCACAAAAAATCGACAAATCGAAAGGATGCGGGTGAACGTACTAGCGCTGACAGCCCGTACAACAATCCGTTGTAAATAAAGTTTGACTGATTTCTCTTTCTTTTTCTGTTCGCCGAGTCGAATTGGCATCCAGTGTGTCCTGTTATTGTTTTCCCTGAATGGAGTGGTACCAGTGTGTACTTTCGAACAGTTTTGTGTCTGGCGCACAGCATCGCGAACTATATGGCAATGTGACCACGAGACATTCTGAATGTTCCATTTTCTCCACGAGAAGTCAAGGATGCTGAGAATTTCTGGGTGACGGAAACCCCGCAGCACACGGTCTCCCCCACGGGACGTCCGAGGTTGGGAGTACGATGCAGGCTGAGGCCAAATTTCATACAGCCGGCCCAAGCTTGGCGAGTCAGAGATGCGAAATCGATAGACAGGTGGTGACGCCACTCCGCAGGTAGCCGAACTATCACTCTGTGACGCCACCGATATTCAGAGTGCGACGTCTTGTTAACTTTTCATTGATTAACAGAAAAGATCAAACTGCAGTGTACAGAAACAAGAGACGGGCTAGCAAGTTTTAGGTACGTTTATGAGAACACGCCACCAAGAAAAAAATTATATATTGAGGTACCACTTGCGAAATAGCGCACTGGTTCTAGCTGCCATATAATTTTTGAAAGATGACCTTGACATCTATATTTCCTTTTTGTATCAATCAACCTTTTTTTTTATTTCCTGCAAGAAAGTGAAAAATATAAATTTGAAAGGAAAAGATTTATCTACCACTCTCTACTGTTACATCATTTCTCTCTATATTGAAAGGGTGCTGTTTCAAAACTAAAGAGCATATCGAGCTAAAAGCGAATATAAGCAAAACGTGTACGCTGCGAGAAATAAGCTGACGATGTTTGATGTCTACGGATGCCAAAAAGAGCTAGTAATCTTGTGATAATGGAGGGTAAAATGTTGACTCTTTGTAATGATATAGAGATAAAATGCTTTCTTTTAGAAATTATACTGCATGTATTTCGGGGGAAACATCTTTATAGTAAGGGCTTCTGTCCAGTTAATTTTTGGAGAAATAGGGCAGTTCCATGTTCATTCACGTGCTGCAGGAGAAAAGAGTGTGTGCAATTATCGAAAGGCAGAGAGGGCGGCCTGGGCTAGCCTGCTACATGAAGTTTCCCAATATACACTAGAAAGAACTATGGCGCTAGTGTCTATGGGAGCTGCAACACACGGCACTTCAGCGAGCATGAGAATCATGGGCAGTGCACACATTTGTCTAATCTTCGTACTTTTGGTCTGTTTTGGCTCCGTGTGTGTTCGTGTGCTTGAAGCTGTTTTCCTCACGAAACGAAAATTAGCAAATGTTCAGTGGTTGCGCTTTACTTTATTCTTTTAGACTTACATTTTCAAATCAGCTCACGAAGTTCAAAAGGGTTGAATCTTTCTTTCAAACAAAACCGAAATACAGCAATAAACGAAGCCGCAAGTGCGATTCGCCACCCACACTACGAAGACTAGGCAAATGTGTGTACTACCCATCATTCCCATGGTCACAGAACGATCGCAGCGACAAAGTCCCCTCTAGTTAATTTTAGGCAACTCTATGGCCTGCTATCGTGTACATGAGAGAAGGTAAAGAAATAGTGATGAGGTGGGTGACGAGGGGGAGAGAAAGAAGTGGTATGTATATACATATCCACGTAACATTGCAGTCCTTGCTAGAGCCTGGAGACCAGTCCTGTGTCTTAAGGAGCTATATAACTGCCCTTGTTGCTCGCACTGTCTGATCACTAATTGCTGACGATATGTCACTTTCAGTTAGCGTTACAACACCGGTTCCGGCCAGCATCGAAGCTAGCGTTTTTTTTTTGTTGTTGTTGTTGCGACACATAAAATGGGCAATTGCAAAACAAGTCGGGGAAACGCTTGAGCTTCGCCTCAAGAGCAGAACGCGAGAGCGTATTATTGGGCCCCGTTCGCATCACCTTCTGATTCGGTAGCCTCGCTTTGCTCAATCATGCCCCAAGGAAAGGAACGTGTGCGCACTACACATTGGTCATTTCAGACTATCCAGAATTCCCACTACAAGTACAGTTGCTGAGTGCCCATTGCACCATAGTTTACTGCTAATGATGCCAATAATTTTGCTCCTAATGATGAGAAAATATGCCTGAGTGCTTTGTAATAGGTGGGCCTTCATACCACACACTCACTGTGCAATTAACGCGTCTCGGCGCCTGGCGCGATTCTACGCTTCCACCCCACAACATTACATGCAATAATGAGAATCCTTGCATTATTTTACATTCGTATAAGGTCTTTTTTTTTTTTGAAACACAGATCAAGAAATGACGTGGCTCTGTGGTAGAACATGTGTTAGCCACGCAGGAAGTCTTGGTTCGATTCCCACTTAAACTAGACTTTTTAAAATTAATTTGTGTCTACCTGTTTTCCGCTCACAGACAACGCTGCTTTTTCCTCACAACCACCGACAACGACGTCGAACCAGAATTTATGCACAACGAGCTCTCTTGCTATCGCGTTATGACAAGTGTTACTGTCTCACATTCATGGCAGCGTTCGCATTTCGAGCTGTCCGCCCGACCGATGAGGTGTTCATAGCGCGGGACTGTGATTGCCGTCAGAACCTTAAACCGTTACTTCGAGCAGTGATTATTACCGCAAGCAAATGATTCATCATTTTTGCTGAAGACTTTGTACGCTTACATCACAGACACTCCACACTTCCAATAAATTGTCAGAAGCATCTTTTATAACCAAAGCTCCTCATTCGAGGTCACTAATATTAAGCTCCCACCCCTTCAAGATGCCCGGCGCGACAGCAGCCGCTCGGCCAACACTTGGAACGGTTAGCAGCGATGGCAAAGATGGTTGCAGCGTATACGTGCAGCAGCATATTGTCACAGGAGCCGCAAACGTGTCTTCGACTAGGAACCATGAAGTGGTCCCTATGCAAAAGAAAGATACCAAAAAAGTTAAACTTCTCCAATCCTTGGTGACACACATTATTCGAATAAAAAAGCACCCGCCACGGTGGTCTAATGGTTAGGGTGCTTGACTGCTAGCCGGCAAGTCACGGTGACGAATCCCGACGTGGCGGTCGCAATTTCGATAAAGGCGAAAATGCCAAAGTCCGTGAGCTTCGAGTTAAGAGCACGTTATAAGAACCCCAGGTGGTCGAAATTTCCGGAGCCCTCCACTACGGCGTCTCTCACAATCATATGGTGGTTTTGGGACGTTAAACCCCACAAATCAATCAAGCGCTGTGGATTAGCAAAATGCAATATTTTTTGTCATTTCAACGGAACTTGAGTGCGGTGTCTCTTTAATAAGGGCACATGCTATAAAGATTTCCGTGAGAATATTATGTTTGATCGAAATTTAAAAATTTGTATTTCCCAATAAAATCAGTGCCGGTTTAATGGCCAATCCCCCTCAATGGGTACAAGCCAGGATATATAGGAACAAGCAAGCAAGAAAGATGAAAAACTTGCACGGGGTGCACGAGAACGAAACGGGGCCTCATTCAGTGGCAGGGGCTCAGACCAGCTGGCTGCACGCTTCCCGCTCTGGCCGCTGTTCCACCAAAGCCGTCGTCTCCTGGCTCCCGCTTGCCGGCGAGCTCCAAGGCAGAGGAGAGCGGCGGGCTCTTCACCTTCGACGGCTGAGGCGAGAACGAGTCCCGGAGCGACGACGCCATGGTGAAGAAAGCGGCGGAGCCCAACGGCGTTCCGCCAAAGGTCGGGCGAGCGAAGCGTCAGGCTGCCCCTGACCAGAATGCCGCTGGTCCTTCGAACGAGGCTGCAGCGACCAAGCGTCCACGTGGCCGACCGCCAAAGACCTCGTCGGAGGGGCCGCTTGCACCGACCCCCATTGCACCAACGCCAGCTCGAAAGTTGCGCAAGGCCACGGAGGTGACGCAGCCCGAAGCAGAAAACCCTTCTGCCAGCAAGGAAGTGGCAGGAAAAACCCCGAGAATCACCCGTGCGAAGCGCTCTCGAAGCTCCTCCTCAAAAAGCCCTAACGACACGGCAAGCGAGGTGCCAAAGCGTCGCCGATCCAAGAAGGTGAGCCGGAGTCGGTCCACACACTCATCGCGTAGTCTTCATATCAGGCACGGTCGTAAAGCCCGAGGCCGTAGAAGCTCTTCTGCATCGTCGGAAGCAAGCCACCCACGGAAGAGGCGCACCAGGAGTCACCGCCATGTCCGCTCCATTGCATCTTCTTCGACCACGATCCGGCGCTCGAAGCGCGACAAGAAGCGACGCCACACCCGTAGTCGCTCGTCCTCGAGACACGGAGGGAGACACGGAAAGGCACGGAGTGCCCCGAGCAGCCGGTCGTCGTCTGTGCGCGGGAGGCGCACTAGGACGGGCAAGATATCCAAGGATGGGAAGAAAAAGTAGGCGAAGCCATCAGGACTGATCTAGCAGAGCCACGCTAAATAATTAATCGGCATTTCGTTTTCTTTTTTCTGAAAAAAGTGGCGAGGTTTCAAGGGCCTCTTCTGCAAGTCACAATATTGTGCAATAAAATTCATTTTGTTGCCCTTGTATTGCTCAATTATTGTCTGAAATATGCTATACGAGGGGCAGATCTAGACGGGAGGATGCCGGGCAGATTAAGTGTCACCCCTCTCCCTACCCCAATTCATCTTCATTCCATGTCGCCTACCTCCTTGTCAGGTTTCATGTGGATGTTTCCTCGGCTACCACTTCCCCAACCGCAGTGCATAGTAGCCGAGTGGTTAGAGCCGTCGCTTCCAGTGCTTGAGGCATTGAATTCGATTCCCAGTGCTGTCGGAGAACCACTATTTCTAAATGCAAAGTATTTTACGTACCGGAACCACTTTAGCATGTCTATCTGCACATCTGGTTATCTATCTATATAGCCGCCTACTTATGGGTGCTGCCATCCTCAACTCGTTATCGTGTGGTAAACAAAAATTAGCATGGGAGGGTAGGAACTTTTGACGAATATGGCTCACTGGTGTTAGGTACGGCACTCGCGCCGAAAAGGGGAACGAAATTCTGGGTACTGCGAACGAGTCGCTGATGTGCTCCTTGCCTGCGGAAAGCCGTTCCAGCCCGGGCATTGAGACCGCCATGTTTTGTCCAAGCGAGGCGTCGTGCCGCCACGACGGCGTAGGCCGTATTGCGTGAGAACGATAAGAGTTTACGCAGTGGCGACATCTTCCTTGAAAGGGTTAGCGGCGGCAGCCGCGAATCGCCAGTGCCACGGACGCTTCGAGCTTAATTAAACGGCCCTTTTGATGTATGCGGCCATGAGCTGGAGACCCCTCGCACAGCGGCACACACACTACGAGGAACAGCCACTTTGGTGACACATGGCACTGCAGTGACATCGCCTCAATATTGGACGTCCACGTGGGCCGCGCATGCTCGTCACACTCACGGGTTGTGTGTGATCTGTGATTCTACAGTGTAATTTGGTGCTCTTTCCCTCTTCCAAGGATGTGGGGAGACGGGATTATTTAAAATCAGCCCTCGCGGGCTGCTTTGTGGGCCATTTCGCTGCAGTACTTTTTCGAGGCATTGCTTTTGAGTGTTGTTTCTTCTAGTTGTAGAGCTTTCAACGAGATCGTCACGATGTAGGACGACATCTTCCACTGGAAGTTCGTCATGTGGCGAGAAATGCTTTCTATCTTCGACTGCCAAGAGGGCAGTCGAAGCCAGACCTCCCACCTTAGAGTAACACAGGCCATCGCTCGAAACACTGTTTCAAAATAAACGTTTATTTCTATCTCTCTCTCTCTCTCTCCCCCGTGCTTGTTTTTCTTCCTCTCTTTTTATCGTTCGACGCAAAAATTTTGGTACGTCTCTCTATCTGTAGATTTGTCTGTTTGTCCACACTTGGCGGTACTGTAAACGGCTCCGAAGTGACCAAACAATACTCCAAACGGCTGACCCCATCCGCAACGCCCAACAATATTGCTCAATATTCAGCGTTCATACTTGTGCGATTGTCAATTAAAAGGCAATTATTGCGCATATCTGAGGCATCACAACAGCACGTCAATATTCTGTATGTGGGTCGCATACTAGAAAAGGCATACATAACTAATTCTAAGGACCATGGTGTTTATCACGATGCGCTGACCATGCAACGCTTGCATGAAAAGACAAGTGTTCCCAACGCTTTTCTAAGACGACACGTGGTGGCATCTAACCGCCGCCTTGCGTTCTACACCTTATCAGCTCCGAGACGGGGGCGCAGGGCATGCGCGCTTTGTTTTCCAAGATGACTGCCAGATAACGCTCATGTCTCATGTTTGACGCGACTTGATGCACTCGTTCACCTCCGCTGCACGCTCGAGGCACTCTAACGCAGCGCCTCCAGAATACCATTTACCAATTTTCTTGTGCTGATCTTCAAATAAACGTTTTGTTCACTCTCTCCAGGCGCAAGACTATCGTCTTTCGACGACATTTGCAGTGTGACATGTAGATCGGCGCCGAAGGGGAAGAAGAACAGCGTCGACTTGTTGCACAGGCGGTCGAAATGCTCGGCCTGCAAATTGTGGCTGAATAAAAGTCTATTATTGCTGTTTGTTAGTCCCTTTTTTCCTGGCGCAACCCACCATGAGGGATAAGCCATGAAACGAACGGTGTCTTGCTATTTAATAGGAAATGTTTATAATTTCGAAATTTTAAGTTTTTATTGAATATGCTTGATTTTGATAATTTTTAATGATGAACTTAGCATTCTATTTTTGTGGTCTCCCGAAGAAAATCGCAAACGGCTTCGCAAACGCTCCTGTGGCTAAAACTCAGCACGGTAGCCCCAAACGAAAGAAGAAACGGAACGGATAAACTTAATATCAACCTTGGCAGCGTTCGTCTAAAAGTCCTTTGCTCTGATTGGTGAATAATCTGTACGTTAGAAAGAAATGATCAAGAGATTCACACTCATTGCAATGGAGGCATAATAGTGACTGTACCACACCAGACCTGAGTATAGTAGAAATTCAGTGAGGGGACTCGGCATCGTATTTTGGTAACTGCGATCTTGGTTTCAGATAGATTCCGCTAGTCTAAAGTCTCCTTGATAAGAGCGATGATTGATGAGAGATCGTAGTTACAAACAGGCAGCTCAATTTTGAACGGATTCTTGTAGATTATTGAAATCATTGCAATACACTTCAAACAGTAAAGTTAACGTTCCTGATACCTCCCTTGGCTTCATTATCTACGGCTTTTCATTAACGTAGGCAAATGGCAAATGACGTACGTTGCAGTGTCCTCATTTGGTTATTCACGTTATTGCTTCTGCATATATGCATGCTGCAGAGCATCTTTACACTGTTGTACTACATTTACCCGCCATCATACGATTATAAACTCTAACCTTACAACAGGATGGCAACCTGTATTCGCACTCGCCTAAAGTTGTAGCTCTGTCACCGTGAGACGGTAATTTGCGTCGTATTTTTCTGTTAACACGTGTGGAATATTTATATTACGCTGTTCACGTTATTCTCACTGCATGCAGCGCAGGACATATGACACGTTTGGTCATATGCTGCATGTGGAGCTGAATGCACTTGATGTCTGTAAAGACAAGACACGTGTGGTCAGGAAATTGAGAGATTGAGAGATAGAGAAAGAGCGCATGAGAAAAAAAATAAAAAAAGGAATAGAAACGAAGCTATTTCTGAGAGAAGAATGGACTGCTGGACGAGTTGGTAATTCATCTCAACTGTGGTGTACGGCAATCCACTGTCGTGTGGGAAGTTTTATTTTAATAGAATTAAGGATCACAAAGCTTCTCGTAAGGAAGAACTATGCTCTAACCTATCATCGCATTGCAGAGAGTGCGAGTTCGCGCCCTTGTTTGATGATACGGTAATTAAAGCTAGATTCAGGGACAATGTAGCATGGGAATTTGAAGAGGCGTATCTCATCAACAAAGTTGGTGACTCATGTGTCGCGCAACCCTCGGTTATGTCACTTCCCGCTGAGGTAGCTTTTTTGGAAGCGCATCATTAATTCAATCTGTCTGCTCATCCAATCATTTTCTTTCACCGCACATGTTGGCGTAACCGCATATATATGGGTGTTTGTGTGTGCAGTACTCTGCTTCTCTCCTCTCTTATTTTTAATCCCCATCCCCTTATCCCCAGTGCAGGGTAGCAAACTGGACGTTCATCTGGTTAACCTCCTTGCCTTCCCTCTTCTTGTTTCTTCCTCCCTTCCTGTTTCCTCGAATAAACTTTCAGTTGTTAGTTTGCGCTGTGTCCAGGTGTCTCCCTTTTGTAGTTCAAATTTTTTCGCGCGCTCAGTTAAGAAGCTATTCCTTTGTGTAATTCTTCCACTCATCGGGGTAAACGTTGTACAAGGAAGGTTCATTAACTGTTTCGGCTTCGTTGATGGTCCGAGCTTTTAGTGGCGCTTCACCGGCAGCCCTTTCACCATAAGACATAAAAGACTAAAAGTAATTAAGCCGAACATAATTGTAACAGCAGCGTCTAGTTCGTTACTCTTTATACTTTGGGGGAGGTGAAATTATAATAACAAACGAACAAAAGAACCTGAAGCTGGCCTATTTCGTTCGTGTCACCGAGTATGGCCAGCAGTCTGAAAAATTTCAACAAAAAAGTAGCTCGAATTGGCCGACGACAAGGCTGAGCTAAGAAAGCATTTTTATAGGAAGATAATGTAATTATTGTTGGCGTTTTGCATCCCAACACCACAATATAATTGAGGGACGCCCTAGTAGAGGGCTCCAGAAGTTTCGACCACCTGGGGTTCTTATAACGTGCTCTTAACTTCGAAGCTCACGGTCCTTGGCATTTTCGCCTTTATCGAAATTGCGACCGCCACGGTCGGGATTCGACACCGTGACTTGCGGGCTAGCAGTCAAGCACCCTAACCATTTGACCACCGTGGCGGGTGCTTTTTTATTTGAATAATGTGTGTCACCAAGGATCGGAGAAGTTTAACTTTCTTTCGCATCTTTCTTTTGCATAGGGACCAGTTCATGGTTCCTAGTTGAAGACACGTTTGCGGCTCCTGTGACAATATGCTGCTGCACGTAGGCTGCAACCATCTTTGCCATCGCTGCTAACCGTTCCAAGTGTTGGCCGAGCGGCTGCTGTCGCGCCGGGCATCTTGAAGGGGTGGGAGCTTAATATTAGTGACCTTGAATGAGGAGCTTTGGTTATAAAAGATGCTTCTGACAATTTATTGGAAGTGTGGAGTGTCTGTGATGTAAGCGTACAAAGTCTTCAGCAAAAATGATGAATCATTTGCTTGCGGTAATAATCACTGCTCGAAGTAACGGTTTAAGGTTCTGACGGCAATCACAGTCCCGCGCTATGAACACCTCATCGGTCGGGCGGGCAGCTTGAAATGCGAACGTTGCCATGAATGTGAGACAGTAACACTTATCATAACGCGATAGCAAGAGAGCTCGTTGTGCATAAATTCTGGTTCGACGTCGGCGTCGGTGGTTGTGAGGAAAAAAAGCAGCGTTG